AAAATGATCACCACTTGACACGCATAGAATCAATTCTCAAGATGTATAATCCTGAATTAAAAGATCATAACTGAGCCTGATTGCATATCACTGTTGCTCTGTATTATAACCCACTTTTCTTCCCAAAATAAAGATCACAACCGAACTGATAGATGACGAACAAAGATGACCTGATCAAGAAAACTGACAGGACAGTTGAGTTGGAGATAGTTATGGCTGAACTGCAGGGTGAAGTTGCCTACATATCCCAAAAATGAGAATCAAGCCTTACGTAGTTCGGTTAAGGTTCACTCGAGTACTAACTCTCTTATTTTGTGCTCTAACTTTTGCCAAAGTCACTCTTTAGGGTTTTCAACCTTGTGAACTCAGTTTTTCTTTGTTTCTAATTTTTCATGCTCTAACTTTTGCCTAGGTTGTCCTTTCAGGTTTTCAGCCTAGTGAGCCTTTCAAGGGTAGTATTTCTTCAACTTGTCCATGTTGATCTGCTGTGAAAATTCCAAGCCATCTAAGTCCATGAGAATAACCGCCCCTCCTGACCAGATTGACTTGATGATGTAAGGACAAATCCAGTTGGGTCTGAACTTGCCTCTTGGGTCGTGGATAGGGGCACGGTTGTCCTTCAGTACCATGTCTCCTTCCTTAAGATTCCGAGACTTAACTTTCTTGTTAAAAGCCCTAACAATTCGGCGTTGGTAGCCCTAGATGTGATACAAAGCCTTCAGCCTTCTCTCATCAAACAACATTAACTCATCGAACCTACTTCATTGCCAGTCCGCCTCCACTATCTGACACTCAGCCATAACTTGCAGTGATGGTACTTTAATTTCAATTGGCAAAACAACCTCCATCCCATAGACGAGAGAATAGGGGGTCGCCCCTGTAGATGTTCAGATTGAGGTTCTGTAGCCCCAGAGTGTAAACCACCATCTTTTGCAGAATTCTCTTGATATTTTTGTTCGTGGCCTCGACAACCCCATTGGTCAGTGGTCTATAGGTTGATGACTTATGGAAAGCCACGTTATATTTCTCAAGCAAGTCTAGCACCTCTTTCTTGTAGTGTGACCCATTATCGGAGATAATCTCATTCGGAACCCCATACCTATAGATGATATTGTTCTTGATGAACTTAGCTACATGCGACGCTTTTAGCACAGAGTAGGACTGGGCCTCCACCCATTTGGTGATGTAGTCAATTACTACCAAGATGAATTCATGTCCATTTGACCCCTTTGGCGTAACTGATGGCATCAGAATAATGAGCTTCATGGATCTCGAACGGCCTTTCTGTAGCCTGAATTGTCACCGTCTTCTTTCCCCATTTAGCCTTAACACACTGATGATAACTTGATGGTACAGCCCCATATCTATGCATCCAGGTCCTCCCTAGAATGATGTGATAATTTGCCTCAGAATCGATAATATGGAACTTGGTGGCCGAGCGAATCTCTCCAACGGCTAAATCAACTGTTACGCAGAAGCTTTCCTCGGAAGCCATAGCTGCGTGCACCTCTCCTCTTAATTCTTCATTCACTGGTTCATAGTCACCACTTGGAAATTGGGCAAGGAGATCAGCTAAGGCTTGGCTTTTGATCGCCTTGGGGGCTACACATGTGATCTCGAATTCACCCAGTGCTAACAACCATCTTGCCACCTTCCCGGTTAGAGCAGGCTTGCTGAGGAGGTATCGGATGCAGCTCTGTCATGCTTTTCCTCTAATGCTTCCAATCTGGTGGTTCGAGGCTCCAATACCATTCCCGAGGCGAGAGCCATTCGAGCAGATGGCGTTTCCAACTCTATAGGTAACACTGCCTCGGACCCATACACAAGGGAGTAAGGAGTTGCTTGAGTTGGCTTTCTCTTCGAAGTGCGATACGCCCATAGGGCTACTATCAACTGTTCGGACCAAGTCCCCCCAAATTCATCCATCATCTTGCTTAGAATCCTTATCAGTGTCTTGTTTGTGGCCTCCGCTTGCCCGTTCCCTTTTGGATAATATGGTGTGGATTTGTGATGCTTCACTTGGTAAGTCTCTAGGAGGCTCTTCACATATTTGTTTATGAAGGGAGTGCCGTTATCAGAGAGGATGGTGTTTGGTACTCCAAACCAGCAAATGATATTCTCCTTGATGAAGTTCGTGACTGCAGGCCCCATAGTGTTCTTCAGAGGAATTGCTTCGACCCACTTTGTACTCAATTCTGTGGCTACGAGAATCCACTTGTACCCCTTAGAAGGTGTGGAGATGGGCCCTATCAGATCAAAAGCCCAGGTATGGAACGACCATGGTGTTCGGATACTATGCAGGTCTACAGCTGGAGCATGGATCAAATTTTCGTGTTTCTGACAAGTCTGGCACCTTTTCATGTGATAGGACGCATCTGACTCCATGGTCGGCTAGTAATACCCAAGGTGTATAAGTTGGTCGAACAGCCGAGCCCCTCCTTGATGCTCAATTTCGTGGGCTCTTCCAAGGACTAGATCTGACTCCTCCTTGGAGAGACACCTCAGGGGAGTGCCCTCAATACTTCTTCTGTAAAGCTTGTCCTGATCAAGAAAGTACCGCCTCGCTTTCCTCTTGAGGTGTGCAATGTCCCTCAGGTTCTCAGGTAGTGTTCCCTTTTTGAGATAGTCAATGTAGACTTACCTCCAGTCAGGGGTATTAATTTTAAAGCAACTCTCATCCTCCCAGATGTATGACTGACACTTGGGGCATTCCTTCTGTAATTGATTCGGGTCCTTCTCCATCTCGGGCCAATAATAGCCTTGTCTTTGGATTCTTCTGTACAGACTGATATCCCCATCCCCGCAACACTTTTCATGGATCTGTTGTAGTCAGAAGCTTGCTTCTTGTTGGCCAACATACCGAGCTAGGAATCCGGTACCCCTTCGGAAGTAGAGTTCACCTTTAATAATTATGAATTGGGCAAGCTTGGCCATAGTTAGTTTTCTAACTTTGCTTCCGAGTTGTTCAAGGACTTCTCCTCTCCAGTCCTCCGGAAGGTCTTTATCTTCGGATATTATTGAAGGTTCTATTTTTTCTTGATGATAATTGTTGTCTCTTCCTCTAGAATGTCAACTCTTGCTCCTAATGTTGCGAGGGCGTCTGAAAACTTGTTGTCGGAGCGAGGCACATGCTCTATTTCAACCTTCTAAAATTTATCAAGAAGTCTTTGGACTGCTGTTCGATATATGGCCAAGGCAGGCTCCTTCAAGACGAACTGTCCTGAAACTTGCTTCACTATCAGTTTTGAGTCCCCACGAATCCGAATCTTCTTGATATTGTGCTTCTCAGCTGCTATCAAGCCTAAAATAAGAGCCTCATACTCGGCTTCATTATTTGAGCAATGGAAATCCAGTTTATAAGACAAATATAACTTTTCCCCACTTTTGCTTGTAAGGACTATCTCGGTTCCTCCTTTCCCTCCGGCTGCTGCTCCGTCAAAGCTCAATGTCCAGAAGCTTTCCTCGGAAGCCATAGCTGCATGCACCTCTCCTCTTAATTCTTCATTCACTGGTTCATAGTCACCACTTGGAAATTGAGCAAGGAGATCGACTAAGGCATGGCTTTTGATTGCCTTGGGAGCTACACATGTGATCTTGAATTCACCAGTGCTAACAACCATCTTGCCACATTTCCGGTTAGAGCAGGCTTACTGAGGAGGTATCGGATTGGATCACTTTTAGTAACAATCTGAATCTGATGTGCCAAGAAGTAATGTCTGAGCTTTTGGGCGGTGAATACCAAAGCTAAGCAATGTCTCTCTATCGAAGTATATCGGACTTCTGCTCCTCGAATCTTCTGGCTAATGTAATACACCGGGCGTTCTGCTCCGTCTATATCTTGGACCAATAATGCCCCTATGGACTTGGTGGTTGAGGTTAGGTACAACATTAGAGGCACCCTAGGCTGCGGGGCTATCATGGTTTGAGGCGAGGTCAAGGCCGCCTTGATTCTCTCGAAGGCCTTTTGGTGCTCTTGGTTCCACTCGAACTAGGCATCTCCTTTTAATAAAGAGCCGAAAGGCGCAGAGATCTCTGCCAGTGCTGGGATAAACCTTCGAATATAAGACACCTTCCCGAGGAACTTCTTTAACTCCTTCTGAGAATGTGGAGGAGGCATTGCTTTGATAGACTTGACCTTGTTCTCATCTGCCTCGATACCATGCCTATGTACAAGAAACCCGAGGAACTTCCCGGCCGTCACCCTGAAAGCACATTTGAGAGGATTCATCCTCATTTTGAATTTCTGGCATCTCTTGAATACCTTCTCAAGGTCTCGGAGATGGTCTTCTTCTTTCTTAGATTTCACCCCTAGATCATCAACATAATCTTCCACCTCATGATGGATCATGTCATGAAAGATTGCAGTCATAGCCTTTTGGTAAGTTGTACCGGCATTCTTGAGTCCGAAAGGCATGACTGTATAGAAGAAGTTTCTGAGAGGTGTTCTAAAAGCAGTCTTTTTTGCGTCCTCTTTAGCCATCTTAATCTGATTGTATCCACTGAACCCATCCATGACTGAGAACATCTGGTGTCCCGAGGTGGCATCCACGAGGGTGTCGATGTGAGGAAGAGAGAATTCATCTTTCGGGCAAGATTTGTTCAAATCTTGAAAGTCTACACATACTCTGTTTTGGCCATTTTTCTTCTTTACTGGCACGCTGTTTGCTAACCACGTGGGCTACTGTATTGGCCGGATGAGACCAGCCTGTTGAAGTTTTTCAATCTCCTCCTTAATCTTCTCTTCGAGATTTGGATGATATTTTCGAGCAGCTTGCTTAATTGGCTTGGAGTTTGGGAACACATCAAGATAGTGGGAGTCTAGGTCAGGATCTAGTCCGGGCATTTCCTTATATGGCCAAGCAAACACATCTGAGTATCGACTTATCAACTTTAACAACTGTTCTCGCTTTTCTGGGCTAAGGCTCGAACTTACGAATACCGGCCTCGGTGTATCTTGTCCATCACTCAGATCTATTTCAATAAGTTGTTCGGGCTACGGCTTCGGCCCATCTTGCATGCATTATGGAGCCACTTCAGGCTTTATCACTATGTCACTGTCAGGAGGCTCTTCTTTTGACTCGGAGTCGGTGACTGAAGAAACCGACTCCCCGCACCTTCATAAATAGTACACCATCTTGCCCCCTCCTCGGACTTTCATCACCTTCCGAGGAATAGGTGGACTTTCTGGTCTAGACATCGCCCATTTACTTGATTCTGCCCTTGGTTTCTTGTCATCTTTGATATCCTCCCAACGAGGAATTTTGACCCCTCGAGGCTTAGAGGTGGTGGGAACTTCTTCGACAGCTAATTCGGTGAAATAGATGGCATTAGAATAATAAGCTTCATGGGTCTCGAAAGGCCTTTCTGTAGCCTGAATTGTCACCGTCTTCTTTTCCCATTTAGCCTTAACACACTGATGATAACTCGATGGTACAGCCCCATATCTATGCATCTAGGTCCTCCCTAGAATGATGTGATAATTTGCCTCGAAATCGATAATATGGAACTTGGTGGCCGAGCGAATCTCTCCGACTGCTAAATCAACTGTTACGCATCCGATAGTAACTCTCCTTTCTCCACCGAAGCCAGTGATGACTATCGGCTGCTTCACAATGCGTTCTTTAGAGATTCCGGCCTTTTTTAGAGTAGCGCGAGTCATAATGTTGATAGAGGCTCCACTATCTAGAAAGGCCCTTTTGAACTCAACCCCGTTAATAAAAGCAGTCACATAAAGCGGGCGATTGTGAGAAAAAGGATACTTTCGATCAGCCTCGGAGAAAGTAATGGCACTAGATTGCTCTTTTGCCTTCCTCGGGATAGACCCCTCAGTCGACATGCATTCCTCATGGTGTGCCTCGGCTATATTAATGATAGACTTGGTGATTTCCGTTCTTGCCTCCCTGGAAAGTCCAAGCTGGTCAAAGAACTGTTTGAACTTTACACAGTCTTGCAGGGTTTTGGCATAGTGATCCGTATCTTTTTCCACTCTTGGAGGCTCGTAGTTAACCATCTCCTCGGTCTCTTCAAAATAAGATGCTACATAAACATGGTGTCCTCCTCTTCCATAGTATTCTTCTCCTCCTTCTGGATCAAAGGGATCTTCGCCATGAGTCATAAATGTTCTGCCCTCTGGATTGAGAGCACTTCCATAGTAAACTTGCTCACCCTCTGGCTCGAGGATGTCGTCTAGATAATAATCATCGTCATCAAGATTGGCGATAGCCTCAATCATCGGGCCTTCATAAGCTATCATAGCAACATTCTTGCCATTGTCTTGGTGCTGAGGATATGGTTGTTCTCGGATATCTTGAGTCCCTTGCCTTTTGAACCTCAATTTGTCTGCCTCAACTTTATCTCTGAAGATTTTCCTGAGAGTCCAACACTTCTCTGTCGGATGTTTCAATGTACGATGGTAGACACAAAATTCAGGGCTCTCGCGGTCCTTTTTTGATGGCATTTCTTCAACATAAGGCAATTTTAGCTCTCCGTCAGCCACCCATTCCTTAACTAGAGTTTTTACTTCCTCGATTCCATATGGATAAGAAACATTCCCCTTTTCACCATTATATTGCTTTCTCTTCTGGCCTCTATGACCTCCTCCTTGTGACTTTCGGGTATCTGGGGCAGAGGCAGCAACAACAATATGTCCACGAGACGATTTGAAGCTAGTCTTGTAACTGGCCTTAAATCCGGACTCCTGAGCCTGAGGAATGCTAATGTTCCGAGCTGCTTCTATTAATGCTGAGAAGGTGGGTAGCTTGTGATTAACTAGAAATATTTGGTACCTGCTCAATGCCCCTTCTAGACAAATTTGAACCAGATAACTCTCCTCAACTGCTTCATGACAATCCACGGCCTTGTTCTGAAACCTTTTGACATAGTCAAGGATGTCTTCACTTTCTTGTTGCTTCTCTTTACACAATGTAAGTGTGGTCACTTTCTCCGCCACTTGAAAGAACTTGGAGTGGAATTTGTTAACCATTTCCTCCCAACTTCGGATAGAGTTTGGGGCCAAATTAACATACCAACTATATGCTCGGTCAGTAAAGGGCTTAGAGAATTCTCTTAGCCGGAGGACGTGGTTTGAACCATGAATACCCAGAGTCTCGATGAATCGCACAACATGTTCTCGAGCATTTCTTTGTTTGCCATCGAACTTGATGAATTTCGGCACTGTATATCCCTCAGGGTATGGATAGCTTAGCATCTCAATGGGGTAAGGCGGCTTGACATCCGGATCAGGCAAAGAGGGTAAAGTCCTCTTGCCGCATTCGAGATCAAACATGGCTTGCACATCGGCGAGAGTGAGAAACTGTTGAGGGAGAGAGTTTGATGGTGGTATTCCCGGAACTTGGCTTATGGACCCAAAGACTGAGCTAGGGGCGACTTGGCCATTTTGGTGCTACGGATTCATTATTGGTGAGGACATTTGATGATACTGGCCATCAGCACCTATATACAAGCCAATTGGTGATGGGATATTGAATTGAGGCCCGTAGAGTCCACCACACGGCGCCGCTATACCGAGTTGTGCTTGCAAATTTGTTGTCGACCCCAAAGGAGGCCTGCTTGGTGCTTGAGTAACATTTACTGGTGGCGTAACAAGATTAGGTACGGGCAGAGCTCCCTTTTGTGCCATCATGCTCCTTATGTTTTCCTGGACAGTAACAGTCGTTGGAGCGCCATTCATTACACCAGAAACTCCCCTAGTCACCATTGGGTCTTGGCTTGGCACGCTATGGAGCCCGGGCATAGGCAAACTACTGCCGCCTACTGTGGTTTGAGCATGTGTTACTGTGGCCGTGTTGCCATGAGCCATAGGCTGATTGGGGCCTACTTCTCCTTGGATTTGATTTTACCTCCGGCGGGAATAACTCCACCACCCGTTTGATTTCCGTTTGGCACCGGTGAAAAATTAGAACTCATCACCAACATGGTGTGAGTGAGATTCTGAAGAGTGGTAAGAATCTCCTGTTGAGTATTTTGAAGTCCTTGAATGGCTTCAAGCAAAAGTGGTTGATCTGGAGCCATGGTTCTGTCATCACCACCATTAGAGGATCCTTGTTGGTGAACTTCATCTTCTCCCGCCATCCTTGTTGGAGTTGTGTGGATTCCAGATCTCGTTGAGACCATTAACCAATCCGCCTCCCTAGTGGAGTTGCCAAAATATAGGAGAGGGTTCAAGAACGTCGTTGGAAAATTCGAAGATCTTCGAAGATCCATGGAGAACAGCTTCGAATTCTCTAGAAGATGATGAGAGGCTTAGATTCTTCAATAGTTTCAACTCAAGAACAAAAAAGTAAAAGAGATGGTGGAGATAAGAGATTGGGTGAAGAAGAAGGCAAAATGGCTAGAGAGAGAATAATATCAAGGCTCTCCCGTGGATCTCTCACTTTCACTCTCAAGGTTGATAATGGAGAAGGGAAATTAGTTCTTTCCCAAGAGTTAAATCTCCAAAATCCATCCCTTGTAAAGCTATGGGTGGGTGCTATTTATAGGCACCTCATGATGTAGGATGGAGCCCTTGTGCAAGGCACATGGGGAATATTCTCTCTAACCACCTTGTCCGAGGAAGTGACCTCTCCGAGGATGAGAAAAACCCCGAAAAGGATATCAACCTCTCGGCGAACACTTCTTCTTAGTCATACCTAACCAATGATCCCCAATCATCCCAAAGGGTCAGGGGTAGTCCCAGAGGACGTCCTGCCACAAAATATTGTCGAGTCTCATGGACCCCCCGGGGTCGTGCCATCTTGACCCGGGTATAGGCTAGTTTAACCGAAGAGTGAATTTATCTCCACTCACCGTCCTTGGGATCGGGTCCTTTGTTCAAACTCCATTACACCCATGGTTCTGATGCGTAGACCCTGGAAAGCTCTGAGCCCTCAAGTGTTCTGGGACTCATTAACGGAGCGGCTTCTAGATTGCGTTTGAATCCATTCGAAGCCAAGTTCTTCGGATCTCTAGATTCGTGGATCCGAATCCTTTCGAGTCCGAGTGCCTCGGATCTCTAGGATAGCTCAATACCCTTTCGAGTCCGGGTCCGAGTAAGTCTCTAAGTTCGTGGATCTGAACCTTTTCGAAGCTTAGAGCGATTCAGCCCGTTTGATGGCGATAAACCCGGGCTCACCAATCTTAAACTTGCGATAAATTCGGGCCCACTAATCTTGGGCTATTAGGCCTAATTAATTTAGCGGACTCAAATTAGCTCCTCTTACAAGTACCAAGAAGAAGCCAACCTACTAGAAGGAAGGTGAAGAAGGCTAAGAACGTTATGAAAGTCCATCATCCGAAGGTGATTCCCAGACCAAATATGATGACAAATGGTAAGTAAAATTGGATCATTTGAAAATTTCTCCAGACAACGTAGCAACCCTTTCTTCAAGCAACCTTTGCTCTTGCTGGAAATGCAGAGAAAGTTGGAAAAGAAGAAGTTGCCAAATTTCTCTGGACAATATTAAGAACTAGTTCAATCCAAACCAAAGAATTTCTCTGGATCAACCTAGAGAAATTTCAGTTCAAATCATAGAATTTCTCTGGACCAATCCAGAGAAAATTCAGTTTAAACCCGAGAATTTCTCTGGACCAACCCAGAGAAATTTCAGTTCAAACAAGAAAATTTCTCTTCACCAATCCAGAGAAATTTCAGTTCAAAGCAAAGAGAAAAGATCATTTCATTGAGTGAATAAGTAACAATAGCAACCTATATATATATATTAAACAAATTTCTCTAAGTTTGTTTTTTTGAAATTTCACTGACTTGTCTCAATAAATTTCACTAGGTTTGATCCTCTTCATCATGTATATATATGGGTAGTAAAACTAAAGAATATAGAATGGAAACATGGAACTATATATAACCTTGAACATTGGAAGAGTTTGACCAAAAAAGAGAAAAAAAAACATTGGAAGGGATGGGATGAGATGGAGCTTGGAAGTTTCAAATTTGAAACACAAAGAGGCAGTTGCTTTAGTAATAGTATTTTTGCTCTAGCTGTGTGTGTCCCTGCAGCCAAACACGTCACTGTGGATCCTTGAGCCCTGCGAGCCTATTCTCTCATTGGCCGAGTGGAGTGTGGTAAGCACATTCTTATGAGCTAAAATAACACACACTTAAATATGCACCAGAGCTTCATCAGATCTTCACCAGATCTTCTGTTACACACATTCTCAGTTGCACTAAATCTGCGCCAGATCTTCATCTACAACAAAATCTCCCCAACTTTGCATTCGCCGCCTCCTTTAGTAGCTCCAGTCAGCGGTGTCTGAGAAAAGAGAGACCGAGTTGATTGATCCGGAAATTGAGAGCGCCGTTGCGACTTCTCTTGCTGAGATGGAAAAACTTGTCCAGGTTGCCGCTGCTTGTATAGAAAGCAATCTCGATCAACAGAGACTGGGAGGAGGACGTTGTCGAAAGGGTGGGATTTGGGGGTAGGGGAAGATCTTGAAGCTTTTGTTCATTTGGTTGTAGGAAAGAGAAAGAGGAATCGTGGGCAAAGAGTCAAATTTCTCTAATAAATGTTTAGGGACCTTAGACATCAAAAAATAATTTTGTGGATTTCTTCCATTACGAAAAGTGGGGGAGGGACCCTAGACTAATTTTTCCTAAGATAAAATGTCATATTAAATCTATAATTATTTCACTTTTTCTCTCACAATTATCATATCCAACTATAAAAAAATCCAACTCTCTTCCCAAATACAAATATTTTAGCCTACTAAAATAGCTAAAAATTAAAATAGCCTACTAAAATAGCCAACTTCCCAAACGAGGCCAAAATGTGTGGATCTAGAATGAGAGGAGTGTCTAAAAATTAAAATAGCCTACTAAAATAGCCAACTTCCCAAACGAGGCCAAAATGTGTGGATCTAGAATGATAGGAGTGTGGCGTAAGTTTTTAAATAATTTTTTTTAACTTTTTAAATTCAAATAATTTACATATACTTAGAAGGAAAATATTTTTTAATTTTCTAAAACCATCACTAAATTCAAAAAAAATATAAAATTTTGGGTAAATTACACGATACCTCTTGAGGTTTATGTTTATTACAGTTTCCCCTCATATTTGAGAAATTGCACTGACCCCTGTTAATTTAATTTTATGTATGATGATCATTATGGTGAGGGAGGGAACTATTATGAAACTTTAAACATCATGGGGCAATCTGTAATGAAACTTTAAACCTTAGGGAGGGGATGTAATTTTCAAAATGTGAGGAGGGAACTGTAATAAACATAAACCTCAGGGGGTGTCAATGAATTTACCCTAAAATTTAATATTTATGACATGAAATGTATATTGTCTTAAGTGTAAATATTTTATAATATATTTTTATATGCCGTGAAAATATACATTTTTTATAACATACTTTTGCATGTTATAAAAGAATCGAATTGATTGATTTATTTATTTTTTTTTTTGTAGAAGTTTTCACGACATTCATTAGCATGTCATGTAAAGTTATAATATTTTATAATATGAAATGTATATGGTCTTAAGTACAAATATTTTACGACATATTTTTGTAAGTTGTAAAAACATATATTTTTTACGACATACTTTGCATGCCATAAATATATGAATTAACGACTTACATGGTATGTATGCTGTTATTGACAAAATATTAACAACTTATATGTCACGCCTCACTTTTTATTACTCGGATTCCATTACTAAAATCATTATTAAAGATTCAATTTCAGAGATAGCATACAGAAGCTCATCATATTTATAAAAAAAACATAGGGAAGAGTTCTCTCGAGCGAATATAAAACGAATGCAACATGAATTTATATCTAAATAAATTGCCCATAGGCTTACATCATTGAAATCAAGAGGAAGGGTTTAACCCTTTACATCAATGGCATTCTGCCTACACATATAGAGGCCTTGTGGCCAACAAATAAGGAAGATTCGTAATCTTGTAGCACATCCTGATAATCACCTGAAAAAGATTTAACAACGTGGGAGGAACATAAAG